TTTAGATGTTCGGGCGCGCGCGTAGAGAGAGCAGATGGGTGTAAAGTGTGTGTGTGTGTGTGTGTGTGTGTGTGTGTGTGTGTGTGTGTGTGTGTGTGTACGCGCGCGCGTGCGTGTGCGTGTGTGCGTCTGTGGGTGTGACTGGGTCGCGCCACATGATATATTATGCGCTCAGAAATTCTGCTGACGTAGGGCATCTTTACGACACCTTAATAATCGACGTCATTTATTTTATTTTCGCCGGAAAATTCACAGACTCGTGTTACGCACGTACAGAAACTCGCGTTACGCACGCACAGACTCGCGTTACGCACACATCTCCCGGCACATGCACGTGACTTACGAACGAGGCTATGACGTAGTGGTAATATTTCGTCGTCATCTTGATCTCGGCCAACAGATCCATAATCCTTTGCGTGGCTTCTAACGTCTGGCAGTCTACTATGAGACGCCTCGGCGTTATCTTGTCTTCTTCGCCATCCACACTCTTGTAATAGAATATAAATAAATAAATAAATATATATATATATATAAAGTATAATATATTATAAGTAGTATATAATATTATAAATAATAGTAATATAATACAATATAGCATATCAGCTACTGTAAACAATGCGTCTCCATGATTTCAAGATGCGTTATTTCCACGTGTACCCAACCCATACTTTACTTTTACTAACCTCTAATTGCTTTTTCGCTGTACTATTGTCATGCGATATGAATCGTGGGATGATGTTGAACGTGCTCTTGGCGCTCTGCGGTCCCAGCAGGATGAAGAGCCGCTCCAGGTTCGGCAAACCTGGAGCCCGTTGTCAGAAACAAAATTAACATAATTATAGATAATAGTTAACATATTGTTATTTATATTAAAGTCTTAACATTTTAATATTAGCTTTATACGATTTTTTTCTGACAACTGGCAAACCTGCACAACAGAAGCGCGCTTGCTCGTTTTGAAGCACAAACATGACGCCGGGCATTTTATATTTCGCGGTGGCGTTTTATTGGATTTTATATTATGTAAATATGGCGCTTTTATCGAAATATCAGCGATCCGTGGGGTAGGAAGTTCTGCTATTATAAAGATGCATCGATATGCAGTGAATGTGCTGCACACCGCTACTATAAAAATTATTTTTGTAAAAGTTTGTTGTAAAATAGAAATGTATATCTGGGTCTATAATAATATAGCAGGGGTGTATCTAGGTCAACTCTAAAAAATATATCGGTTGTGAATATCAGTGCGTGCGTGCATTTACTTCGATTTTTTTCTTAACAGGCGATTTACTTCAATACCGACATCCTACTAAACACACGTATACATAAAACAGACGTATCGCAGCACAGGACGTATTACATGACATTTACTATAACATTCACCTTTGCGGTAGCCGGCATACCTTCGTCGGACACGATCAGGTAGTAGACCGTGTCCCACTTGTAATACTTGATGATGTCGTAGACGGCCTTCATGTGACCCGGATGCATGTACACCTGGTAGTGGTTAGTCTCGGAAGCAACACTGTCGAATTGCAAGTAGAAAAATTCATATTTGTAAAAAAAATCGGAAATCTTGATTTCTCCATGAAATCTGGCAGATTCTGTCGTAATCTAACGAGCAGAGATAATTACATAACTTGTGCTATTTATTTATTTTTATTTATGCACCTGTGGACACACACGCGCGTCGCAATATCGCATCGTACTGTCATAACTAATCAATTACATTTTTTAATGAACAAAACAATTATACATTATACGTCGAAAGTCGTTTTCGAACGACGCTATAAAATCATGGTTCATATATCATACAAGTCATATAGAGAGTGAGATAATAAAGATAATAATATAAACAAGAGATTAATATATATATATA